TGTAAGAAATGTGAGGATTCACCATGATATCGATGTTATTACCGTCAAGAGTCTTTACCGCTAAGCTGTCCTATTTCCAACGGATGGTGAGTGTTTCTTAGAAATGTGATAAGCACCAGACATTAGCAAACGTTCATTAAATAGGAGAATCATAATGAAATAGGCCGTATTCTAAAAAATTGTAATCGGGCGAAGTGTTCGGGGTCAATACAGGAATCCTGTCAGCGCAGTACCATTACCATAGGTTCAACCATACGCGCAGTAGTGCGCGTCAGCCAAGCTTGTCACTTATAATTCAGCAACATTGTCCGTGAAACTGGGAGAAGCCTGCACCCTTGCGACGGAATCGCAGGAATCAGTCTGTACTGATGTATGCGATTACTGTAGGAATTACTGAGCTTGTCAGCGACAATGGATGCTTAACCTTGTGAACGTTGAGCTGCGGTGCTTGCACCAGTACATACGAGAACGTACAAGTAATATTCCACCATGGGCTTCCTTGTAGTTTGTCATGCTGTGCGAAGTAAAATTAGAAGGTGCTGTTCCTGAGCGCAGTATTTTTTTTGTTTACCCGTATACTGTCAACGGACGATTGAGTCGATGATTGTAAACTGCTGAAAAAATTTTCTATTTTCTTTTCATTATTAGAGGGAGTGAACTGATATCTTTTAGACCGAATCTATACGTTCCGAACGTCACGACGATGCCGCCTCCCATAATACCTTTGATACCGAATACTTCGGTTCCTCCGCCAAGTGTTCCGCCACCTGGTTGGCCTCCTCATCATCTTGGCTGATCTCTTACCCACGAATTATTTCCTCAACATGGGAAGGAAACAGTACCATGGAAAATTTCGAAAACTGATAAGTTTCATATTTTGCTATTGTTCCGTACAACATATCCGTAATCCATTTTGCTAGATATTAGGAATTTTCAAGCACATTGTATTCATAGTATGCTGGTGACTCTGTTATTAAATAGATAGCTGAGAACTGAGAAACGGGTTCGAATCTACGCTTGTATTCATCATTGTCTTTTTCAAATATGTGTATGTTGACGTTAATCAATTACTCTGCTGTAAGATTAGAGTTGATGGGGTCGAAGACCTCAAGCTCCACAGTGTGGACTACAGGATTTCTAGAAATTGGCGCTGCTTATCGACGGGGGGGGGGCATTTTGCACTTTAACGACTTCCCATCGACGTGTCGACCCATCTAGACAGCCTCTTCTCGAGTTGACAGGTTTTACCATGATGGCTTGACGAGCTTGCTCCAGCTTCACAAGAGTTCACAGGTTTCGAGTGAGACTTGTAAACCAGAACTAGTGAAGCAACGAAAGTGCAAAATGCCCTCCCCCCCCCCCCCCCCCCCGTCGGCAAATCACGCCGAAATTAGTTAATGAAAACAGATACAATTGATTTAAGCATCTCGTATGTCAGAACATTCACCCAGCAACAAAGTATTCTAATCAAAGCTTGTTATGAGGTCTCATTTATGCACTAAGAATTTGTTGCAAATTGAGTTGAACCCTGGTCGCATTCTCAGAGGGAGATGAGAGCATGGCATATCTCAGGGGACCATTTTTTGAAAATTGGCATTTGTTTATGCTCTCATCTGTTATAAGCGGAGGTGAGTGCCATGCACTGACACTATTCGGAAGCTGCCGCCATGTTCTTCCATGGCCCCAGCAAACGTCCTAAAGTCGTCCTCCCGTCGTATTCATGCCAGGCTCAAGCGTACAGCATACGTCGTGGAATTCGCGACTTGGGGGTCGTATGTTCAGGTGTCGATAATACGGAGCAGTGGCAGCACTGGTGGAGCACTGTACTTGTTGCTCTTGTGCCTCGCCGGGTAGGGGTGGTATCTCCGTCGCGTTAAAGATACCTGAGAATCTCGTTCGCAATGTATCTACAGCATGGTAATGAGCCATGTTCTTCTGCGTGTGAAGTGGGTTGAGAAGATTTAGAAGACTTACCGCACTTTACCCTTTCGTTTCTCGTATACACCCCCTATTTCGGTAAAGACTGCCGACGGTACCAACCCTTTGCTATGCTCCCTCCGGTTATCCCTCACTGAACTTCATCTGCCAAGTTGCTCAGTTTCACCTTACTCCCCATTTCGTGGGATTTTCGGATGCGTTTTGAGGGTTTTTGTCCTCGGCACCGTTCACTTCGGCGAACGCCCCGCCCATCAGGGGTGTGCTTCATTAATTTCGTCCGCCAACTGATTGCCTATCGTTTGCCACTTCTCCCACTCTCCGAGCTCTTTTGGAACCGAACTACGAATTTTTGAAATTTTCGTAGCAAGCACCGCCCACCTATAGAACGCCCCGCCCAGAATGGGTTTGTCTCACTCATTTCGTCCGCCAACTGATTGCTTATCGTTTGCCACTTTTTCCACTCTCGGGGCTCTTTTGGAACCGAACCACGAATTTTTGATGTAGCTCACAACTGTGTGTCAGTGGGCGGGGCTTAGCTTAGTTCATGTGTGTTCCGTACATCTTGGCCCATGCCCTACCCAACCCACCCTTGACCCGCCCCCTCCAACTGGCTCTTCAGGTGATTCCGAATTTCCGGACAGACAGACAGACAGACAGACGTTGCCGTTTATATATAGTAGGATAGGATACGGTAAGGAACCATTGTCTGGCTCATTGGGTTATTTGGTCTATATTAGCCTATATCATCTACAGTTTGTAGATGGAGTTACACACTTCTAAAGTGGGACTGGTTCTTATAAGTGCGGTGGGCCATGCAGCGCTCCACTCTCACAGCATAGACGCAGTCGCAGACACTGGGCAGAGACATCGACAGCTTGTAAGAGTGAGGAGGGAAGGAGTCGTATGGAGATATTAGTTAGGGTCAGGTCGTGTGACACACACCCACTGTCACACATTTTTCTCTCTGCGACGCTTCATATGATTCATATGGCATTTCGTTAGTGTTATCAAAAAACGTGAGAACGCGTAACAATAGTCCCAGAAAATCGGTCAGCTAGCGACTTCATTTACTCGCACATCAGAGAACACAGTAGCAACTGATCTATCCTTTATTAAGGCATGCATATCTGATGGTTGTCCTCAGTACAAAAAAAAACAGCACCATTTCCCCTACTCGCCGAAAATGCGGCCAGGTTTTGAATGAGGTTTCCGTTCCGAATGGAGTTTAGTTTTCCGGCCAGAGTTCTGTGCGCTATGGTGTTCGACACCCTGAAATGCGAATATCGCGTCCACTTGGCTCAAAACTACCTGAGTACAAGCTCCACCTCCGTAACACATTGAAACACCAGTTTTGTTCTAAACCTGTGTCAGGTATTGACGGGCGCCTTTAGCGCGGGAGCGTGGCACTTTGGCTTCCAACGGATCTAAAATTTGCGTTTCAGGGGCCAAACTACCTCGGGACGGAGCCTTGGCCAAGCGTATTTGAGGAGAAAGAAAAACCAATCTAGATGGAGTTTCCAAGAGTAAGGCACGCAAGGTTTAATAGTGCTTATGAATCCATAAAAGGATCACTGCTAAACAGATGACTAGCTCTCAACCCTTTTACACTCCATATCGATGGACAGGGCGTGGTTGCGCACTTCATTCGACACAGGGTAGGAAGCGTTTGTTCGTGAGCCATGTGAAGCAGCTGCAATCTTTTCTTGTGCCAAACAAGGACGTGATTACACCAGTCCCAAAACAGCAGTGTCCCATCAAAAGCACAAGCCCAAATAAAGTACGTAGCAACGCTCCATCTCCTAGATAAGGAGTGTTTATTAGCACAATCGTCACGCAGTCAAGATCGACGTATCTTGAGCAGCGTTCAGAATTCGCGACGGCAGCGCTTCGCACGCTTTCTGATCGCGTCGAGCGCACGACCGAAGCCCTGCCGTCGCAAAGTGTGAACGCTGCCTTATGGCTTCCAGTTTCTTCGAAAATTTATACACATTTTCTCACACATTTATATCTATCAGACGTATATATTAGTTTCTTGATCACTTATCAAACTGTCAGCGGTGATGCTACCCGTTTTAATATGTATACCACTAAATATCTTAGCAGCAAGGAACTAGCGAGAGATGGAAAAACAAACTGGTACAGTGGAAACATTGCCTCTTTTCAGAATAAAAAATGGAGACTATGAACTATGAATGGCACAGGACATTCTAGGGTCTCCATAAGGAAACAACTTAAGATATCCTAGAGACTTTTGTGCAAGAGATGTATGGAGATGGGAACGTGGAGGGGTTTCAAGCACATTGAAATCTCCAGTGCTACGCAAGAAACATGTGCAATGCAGTGCAAGGCAGGAGATAATTCGTACGTTCCTTGAGAGGTTTAATCGGGCTTGAAGCTGTGCTAAGCACTATGAAAAAGCTTTTGTCAGTTGCTCAATAAGGTTCAGTTACTGAAAGAAAGAGGACTAGCACGGTAGGCGCGCGCGCCGCAGACCACAAGCGCATCAACCAAGCGGAAGAGACCCGTGTCTCGCGGCCTCTCTAGTCCACGGCGCATTCGTCGTCGCATCACCGCAATCATCTCGTTGTTCGACAGCTTTCCGTCCTTAAAGTAAACTTCTGATTACTTTCCACGAACTAATGGCTTCTAACTCACCATGTTATCATCGAAAAGCGTGATAACCACGTCAATCACGTGGTCGCTGAGCTCTACTCCAGTAATTTTACGAGCAGCTCTAAATATTTCCTATGCAATTAAAGCTCACGCCAAGGTTGCTGGCCAAACAAACCCACCTTTTCAGCAAACTCGCGTCAATGGGGAGGCCAGCCATACGATGAAAATGCAAGGCCATATCTACGGACTCGATGTGATAAAGGAATTGGAAGAATGCGCGAGTCTTAAGTATTGCTATGTATATGTTCTAGTTCTTAGTTAGATTCGGAAAACTTCTCTCACTTCTTCGAAAGAAATTCCTTGTGAATTCTTGAACTTCTTTTTCAGGCGCTTGAGCATCAGTTTCTGTCGTTTTTCAGGGATTTGTGCATGCATGAGCAGTAGTTCTCCAAAACTCGTTTCACCAATAAGACCGTCAACACCGTCCAAAGCGTCTCTTCTCTCAAACTCCATTCGCAAAATATCGCTGTACAAGGCTCTCCTATAAGAATGAACAACTGCAGACAATGCAATCAATACCAAAGTACGACAACTGCACAAGAAGGTGAGGAGGCGAAGGCACAGTAACGTACCTGAAATTCGAGGAACTTCGATGCTGAAAGTGTGTTCTTCCCATCTGGTCCGAAAAAGTAGTGTTCGAGAGCCGAATTCGCTTCCACTCGGAAGGAGGAATTGGGTGTGATATGGTCACGGTGGCGTTGTCCAACCGTAGTTTGAGACATTATAAGGTGCTGGAAAGTGATACAAAATGGAACCGAAGAATACGCTGAAGAACAGATTGTGTTACCTGAACTTTCAAAAATTCTTCTTTATCGAGGGCGCCATCACCGTTAATATCGAAGATTTTGAAGGCAAGAGCAAAATCGTTCGGAGATGCTAAATAGACGGGTAGGCTATTCTGAGAAAAGGACTCACAATAAGCATGACTGTTTTTTGGAGAGGATACTTACTTGACAAGAGAGTCATCAAAAATAGGTAGTCGCTGAAGCTAATTAGTCCATTTTCACCCAATTTGTAGAAGATGCTGTTTTTATCAGAGAACTTGTGTCTGTACTTCTGGAAACAAACAATTGAATTGGATCCTTTCTACTACTATGTTCGAAAAATTCACCTCTGGTTGGTAAATTTTGTAACTGTCCAGACCATACTTTCTTGGCTGCATAACACCCGGAGTGAATGATCTCAGGAAGTCTTCAGGGGTCATAAATACTTCAAAAGTTCTTCCAGATTCATCGCTTCTATCAATCACCTGGAAAGGTATCACCTATGCCAGAATTTGAGATGAAGAAGGTATTTCACATGAGTCCTACCTTCAGGGTAG